TGTCTTTAATGATTTGAATATAAGCATTATTAACTCCTTTCTTTTCAAGAACTCTCCATAGCACTTCTCTTGGAACTTTATCGTATGCTTTTTCTAAATCAATAAATATCATATGTAGATCCTCCTTATTTTCTCTATATTTCTCTATCAAACCTCTTAGTAAATGTATGGCTTCCATAGTCGACCTACCCGGCATGAATCCAAATTGATTTTGAGAAACATTAGTATTACGCCGCAACCTATGCTCCATAACAATAGCATGATTCCTATGACGAAAAAATTTACAAATCTTAAATTCACTGAATGAGCCAAAGATGAAACTGAAGAGTTCTTTAGTATAGCAAAATTGGCCTTGGAGAGAGCTTACCAAGGAGATCATTATGGAGTTCTCATGGATCATTAATTGTAGAAAAAAATCACATGAATGGCAACATCTCTACTAAAGTAGATAACTATCTATTTATTGCTTATCTTATGCATTGTGAAAATTGCAGGGCGTGCTATTGGGATTATCGAACACTGCTGGGGTGCTTGCTGGCGTCTTTGGCACTGCTGTAACTGGTTATATTCTGCAACATGGCAAGTTTCCCTTACCATGATACTAACAATGTTTTGACAGTTATTAAATTTTGCTAATCACAGATTTCCATCCTCCCTTTGAGTTGTGTTTAATTGAACATTTTCAACTAACAGGTTCATGGGATGATGTCTTTAAGGTAGCCGTTGGCTTATATCTTGTGGGTACAGTGGTCTGGAACTTGTTTTCGACTGGTGAGAAAGTAATTGATTAGCAAGAACAAAAAAGGCAATGCAGTTTTCAAGCGATTCTGGAGTGAAAAATATAGTTATGAATATAAATTATCAATGAATAAGCGTTACCACGACGGAGCTGAGTTGCAACGAAGAGCAAATTCATATTTGAGCCAAAATGCATCATAAGTTTAGCTTTGGGACAAGACTGGATCTTAACATTGTTGATGTATTAAATCCAGTCATGGAAAATATAAGGTAATAATCTAATATTTTTCTCACCTTCTGAGTTATATTTTCTCTAGCTTCCTGCAATTTTAACAGTTGAAGGTGTTGTAGAAGACCACAGTTAGCTAAGCACCGCTTAAACTTTGCCAGGAAATGTTAAATGTAATTCATGCTTCAGTTCACCACATGTAAATTGATCTCTGTATTAATTGAGGTTCTCATTTTGCTCCACAAATTATTTAATTCCAGGTAGTTATAGTTGCTTGTAATTCTACAAACGTGCAAATTATGGCTTCTTCTTTCTCAGTCTATAGAGGTTGTTCGATCTTTCTTTGAGCAATGTAAAACTGCAATGATGCTGAAGTTTGGTATGTTATGTTATTTTCTAGGAGGCTAACTTTTGCAAATTTAATCACACAACAATAACATCAAGTCTTTGTCCCACTACGTGGGGTCGACTACATGGATCCTTTTTCTCCATTGTGTTCTCTTAAAAGTCAAATTCTCGTTTAAATCTAATAAAAAAAAATCATTTCTAATATTTTCTAACCAAATCTTTTTAAGTCTACCTCTACCTTTCTTAATATAAGTCAAATCTAATAGCTCTACTTTCCTAACTGAGTCACCGGAAGGCCGTCGTTTTATATGACCAAACCATCTAAGGCGACTCTCTCTAATCTTATCTTCCACTAGAGCTACTCCAACCTTTTCACTATATGCTCATTTTGTATCTTGTCTCTAAGGGTAAAGCCACTCATCCACCTGAGTATTCTCATCTTTGCAACACTTAACTTAGTATTATGCTTCTCTTTTAATGGCTAATATTCTGCACTGTAAAGCATTGCAGGTTTCATCACCATCTTATAGAATTTTCCCTTTAAGTTTGAGGGAGACTTTTCTATCACACATCAACCATCCAATTTGAATTCTACTGATAATATCCCCATCTATTTCACCATCACTCTGAACAATAGATCCAACCTATCTAAAACATGTACTATTATTAAGGACTTGATCGCCCAAAGTCACAATCCCTCCACTAGGTCCATTACTACTAAAATTATACTCCATATATTCAGTTTTTGATCTACTCAAGTGAAAATATTTAGACTCAAAGGTTGTCCTCCATAATTCAAGTTTACCTTCAACTCCCTCTCTAGTCTTATCTAGGGACCAAAAAAAAAAAAAAAAAAGCTGTTGAAAAATGAAGGGTGGTTTGGCCAATATGAGTGATAGTTTGAAACCCATTTGGAAGGTGTATCAAGGGAGCAAAAAGAGGACTATTAGCGGTAAGCAAACGTGTATTGATTGTTGTATATTTTTTATATGTAGAATCAAAATAACAGTAGAAGTATTTGAGATGATAGAAAAATCTCAAGTGATGAAGTAGTTTGAGATTTATATGAATTAAAGATAGCCTGCAGATCAATCTTAGAAAGAGCCACCATGGAGGATGTGGAGAAGCATCATTGTTGGTGGAGGCAGTAATAACGATCATAAGGACCTTACAACTTCATTTTATATTGGGATCATATTGCCTGTGGTAATGCTGATGTTGAGTTTATCAACATAGATGATCATGTTGTAGATTTATTCACAAAGTCACTCATTCAGGGTCATTTTTGTAACTTAGGCTTAGATTCTGCTTTGTAATTCATGTGCTGATTTTATGATTTCATTCTCTTTATAGGCTTAATTCACAAAAAATTCTTGAATTCAAAAATTTTGTACTAGAAAGCTGCTTTAGAAAGCAATAAGAAAGATGTCCCAAACGAAGCTTTAGTTTATAATGAGTTTATAAGTATCTCAAAAATCCTATTTTACAACATATAAATTTAGGCAACTTGTGCTTATGGAATAATATAAAATGCCAGCCATTACTAGGCAGAACTGTAGGTTAATGTCTCTATTGCTTCACTTGTCATGCAAGGAAAATGAGGTGGTGGTTTGCATATGCTTAATATATTCATTTGTTTTGTAACTACTAAGTGCTTAATGCTATAAAATACTTGTACAATAGATCATTTCTTACCCATCAAAAGAAAAATATTTTCTGTTTCAAAGGTGTTCTTGCTATATTACAAAACTTGTGCTTGGTCTTTCTAATTTTCTTTTCTTGCATACCATTCTCTTGTTTATGTTTACTTTAATTTTGTTGCGACTGGTATTCAATCACTTCGCACGCTTACAAAATCGGTGCCAACTTGCAAAAAAAAAAAAAAAACTTTCTTAGAGTCTCCTATCGGCTTGGATGTGCTATATAAGGGTGTATATGAGACAAGTTGACTTAGAGTTAACCCTCGCTTGAGCACGAGCTTATGCTCATGAGTAGATATATTATTTGTTATGAAAGAGAGAAGATGATCTGAATTCAATAAGTTGTTGTAATAAAATGATGAAAAAAATGAGAAATAATAATAAATTAGTTGTTTTAAGAGGGGGATATATTTCATAATTGTATTTAATAACTTGGTACTTAATCCTTAGAATTTTAATATATTTTAAATATATTTAACTATTGATATTAACTTTCTTTTTAAACTAGTTGTTTCATTAGCCCATGTTCATCCAATTTAGCTAGATATATTTATTAAGTGAGTCAACCCACGAGTTGAGTTGACTCAGTTGCACCTATGGTGTCGTATATTTTTAGTGTTTGACCAAATGTAATTCAGACATGTATTAGATGAAAAATAAGTATAATGATATCTATAAGATTGTCCATTATTCACTTGGATAGAACTACATAACGGGTCGAACATTTCATTATTGTCTTCATCATGGTTAGAGATTTTACACTAGAGTCTTTAAAGATTCTATTTGTTTAAGGTTTCGTTTGGGATAACTTTTTTATTGTTTTTTGAAACAGCTTTGTAAAAATTTTGTACTAAAAAACTGTTTTAAGAAGCAGTAAAAAAGCTGTCCCTAACGAAACCTAAGGCTTCATTTTTGAACGACTTTCTTACTATTTTGTAAAGCTGTTTTTTAGTATAGAAATTTCTTCTCATGGAGAAGCTATTGAGAGATCTCAAAGCATATTCATCTGTATATACATTGTATTTATTTCTCAAAATTTCTTAGTAGTGTATATAATTTTTTGGAAATTAAATATAGATGTTTATATAGATATTTTGAATTCTAGAAATATTTAAGTTGTTTATTTCTGATAAATGAAGTTAGATAACTTTGATATTGTTTATTAAAAGATAAAAGAATAATTTTTTTCAATTTAAATTCTGGGATATTACATGAGCTATGAGATAATCTTAATAAAAACTTCCAAATTTATTACGACTATGGATATTGTCAATATAAATTTCTTATATGCTTCCAAATTTCATATTTATATTTGTCTCATATACACGTTAATTTTTTTTTTTAAATTATTTTTTTGGTCGGATTTTCGTGTCGTGTCAAATATTGACACCCTACACGTTATAATCCTTTGATTTGGGCCTTTATTAATTAATCCCCAATAATCAGCATTAATTATATCATTCATCGCCGGCTCTTTCTCAAGACAGCACTGCGCGTTTATAGATTCTCTTATATCAGAATTTTATTAAACATCGTTAGGATCTCTTATTGAATTTTTTTTTTAATTAAAATTGATATATCATCAAAAAATTATCTTGATAGGGCATGTATCTCGAGGCAAAATCAAGTTGGAAACTTCTAAAATTAAAATTGGGACCATCCGGATCATCAACTGACGCCCGAACTTTCATCAAATCACCGATTGATGCTAGACTTTTGCTCGACCAAACATCATTTGACCTTCATCTGACCTCCGTTTGTCATTAGATTTCTACCAGACGGTTGATTATTGTAATCTGATTGCTTTCAAGGACGATTTAGGCAACTGTAATATACTCAAACATTAGTGAAATCGTTTCAACTGAGCGTGACCCCGTTGTTTTTTTCTCATTTTTTGGGTTTTCGCGTAAAAAATCTTATGTTCTTTGTTTGTGTGTTGTATATTTATACAACGGTGAAACATAAAATTATGACTCTATTGCCGCTTATATTCTAGCCCGCAATAATAATGATGTCTTAATCAAGTATTAATCATGTAAAAACTAAGTTTATTAGAGAGTAATTAAGGACTTCTCATATTGTAAAATAAAAAATAAAAAATTAAAATTAAAAGGACTTCTCATGTAGTCCTTATCCATCGTTTTGCGTTATTTTCAACACAGCTGCATCCGCAGCTTAAACCTTTCTTGCTCCAACTCAATGTCTAATTACCACTTAAAAATTCATTAAGGACAAAGATTAAGGCTTCCTTTGGGACAGCTTTTTTACTACTTCTTGAAGCATCATTTTAGTACAAAAATTAATTTTTTTAACTAGAAAGCTACTTCAAAAAGCAGTAAAAAAGTCGTCCCAAACGAAACCGAAGTTACAAAGCTTAAGCTTCTTTTGTGATATCTTTCTTATTGTTTTGCTTTTCAAATTGCAATTATAATTTTTATTTGATCATAATTTTAAAGCTTTTTCATCAGCTTAAAAAAAAAATATTTTTTCACCATAACAGTTTTATAAAGCAGTAAAAAAATGGTCCCACATGACAACTTTCTTACTGCTTTCTAAAGTAATTTTTTAGTAAAAAATTTCTAATTCAAGAATTTTTTATGCTAATTTTTTTTTTTAAAAAAAAATAAGAAATTTATCACAAACGAAGCCTTAAATCTTGGAACAATTATTAGGTCAAGTCACCTGACGTAGCTCTACATCCGGACGCTAATAACATGTTGTCACGTGTTCTTATTCTTTACCGCATGGCCCGACGACCTGACTCAGACCCGGACCTGGTATTGCTATGTATTGGCTGATTTGTGCAGACCGGGATATTGCTAGGTATTGCTCGGCAATAACGAGAAATACCATTTTATCAAGATTAATACCTAGCAATACCGAGCAATTCCCCGGTTTTGCTAGTTATTGCTCGGTATTGCTAGGTATTGCTCAGTATTACTCGGTATTGATCTTGAAAGGGTGGACCGGGATATTGCTAGGTATTGCTCGGCAATAACGAGAAATACCATTTTATCAAGATTAATACCTAGCAATACCGAGCAATTCCCCGGTTTTGCTAGTTATTGCTCGGTATTGCTAGGTATTGCTCAGTATTACTCGGTATTGGTCTTGAAAGAGTGGTATTTCTCGTTATTTCCAAGTAGTACCTAGCAATATCGAGCAATACCGAGCAATACCTAACAATACACGAACATAGCAATACCGGGTTCCGGTCCGGGTCGCGTCGTCAGGCCGCACGATAAAGAGTAAGAGCACGTGGCGACATGTTATTAACGTCAGAATGTAAA